TTGCCAGGTTACTGGTTTCCGTATGAGCACAGAACATGTGAAAATACAGAAAATTTTATCCAGAAATCAATCTGAGAACAGATATTCTGTTTAGTTCTAGCTTAAAGCAGTGGGAAAGCACCAGCACAGGCCTAGGAATTATTTGCTATTAGCAGCAGGCAGTTATCTTCTTAGCTGGTGACCTACATAGTGTTGAATCTGGTCACATCATGTTATGCCTCATTATGGCCCTGATCTAAACTTTATTGAAGTCAATAGAAATATTCCTCTTGGCTTCAATGAGTATTCGATTGGACCCATGTGTGAAACTGAAAGTACAAAAGAATCCATTTCTGTTGTGGACAGAAATCCAGCATGGATAATTCCTTTCTTTATTCTGAGAAAATTAATGCACTGTCTCTCCCATTGAGCCAATCCAGCTGTTTATCCTTCACCCTGCATTTTTCACCCGTAGATGCATTAATCCCACTCTCACAGCCTTCACAAGCACACTGTACCGCTAGCCCTGGACCTGCCCCCTGCCTGCTTCCATGGGGCTCTCCTGCACTTGTCCAGCCTCACAGACCTGAGGTCCTCAGGTCTCCTTGACTTCCCTGGGTCTCCAAGAACATCTCCTGTCTTTGTCAGTGCTTTGACTGCAGAATTGCTTGAGTCAACAGTTCACAACACAGATGGCACAGCCTTGGCCAGTCTGGGACAATTTCCCAACGGTGCTGTGGAGAGCTCCTCCATCCTTCTGGCTGGAACCAGAGGAAGCCTTTGGAGGATAATCACCCGCACAGTCACACAGAGGGGTTTGCTGAGTACAGCCAGTGCTTCAGCTCCTCCAGGTCCTAATGGACAATAGGGGCCGGGAAATTTTACCACTCGGTGTTGCAACTCTCTGCACAGGACGCGTGCCAGTTCCAGATAAAGTCTGAACTGTCACTGCAGTGACCATGAATAATGGGGGCTGCCTGCAGTAGAGGCCAGGCTGAAGTGCGTTGGTCTGACACAGGTACAGGTGCAGAGCACAGTCCCAGGCCAGGCAGACAGGTAAAAGCCACTCCTTGTGCCAGTTTGGTTTGTTCCAAGGGAATCTGGGGTGTTGGCGACACCAGCAGCCCTCCCTGTGGGCACTGCAGAGCAAACACTCCGGGGAGCAGCAGGGCCCATGCACACACACACGGAGCACAGAGAGAGTGGAAGCTGCTGTGAAGGCTCTCCTTTCCCAAGGGCTAAGAATTACAAGCTCTGGCATTACATGGTTGCAGGCACTGTCCCTGCAGATGGATGGGACGCACAGCGCTGGCACACAGCAGCCATGTACGGAATGGCAGTGCAACACTCGTGTTGCAAACATACCTCTATGTGCATTTCCATACCCAGAAATAAGTGAGATCAGTTTTTTGTGAACATTTGCAGCCTGTGCAATGTAACAATGGGCTGTTTGCAGAAAATGAGCACAAAAGGACATAAACATGAGAGAAAGGCCTTCATTCTTATCAATTCCCTTAACAGAAGAATTCGTTTTTATAGCAGGGCTCTGTCAGGGGGAGGTGGGCCAGAGTGCTTCTCAGTACTGACTTTATGTCATGGTGCCTCCCCACAACACATAGACATGAAAGGACTTGATGCTGTTTGCACAGACACCCCTCAGCCCCTGGCTCCCTCTGCCATGAAAACTGGATGTTCTTCCTGTCCCTCACAGGCAGGGAACACATCTGTGCTGCAGAACACACATGTACCTGTGCCCAGCTGCACCACTGGGTGTTAGGCTGCAAAACAAGGCAAGGAACAGCTGATGCCTTACTTCTGCCCCTTGATGCACAACTTCTGACGGTCTTTAATGGTAGGAGCACACGGTGGGATCCCTGCCTCACCCAGCACATACAACCATCACTGTCTCTCTCAAAGGACTGTCTGATGCTTTATTTCCCTGTCACTGTCCAGTGGTTGCCTTCTCTCTCAAGACAGTATGAGCCCTTCCCCAAATAGCCCTTCCATTCCTCATCAGTCTCTCCCTAGATACCACAGTCTACAGCAGATGTGAAAGGTAATATGATTATTGTCAACAGTACAGCATAGATTCGCAGATTCACAGAATATTCTGAGCTGGAAGGGACCCATAAGGATAATTGACTCCAACTCTTAAGGAATTGAGCCCACAGTCTTGGTGTTACTAGCATCATAGTCTAACCATGTCATAAGATGATAAATAACTCAAGAGCCCCCATTTTATGCAGGTTAACTGAGGGAAACACCAAGATGGGAAATTCAAGGAAGTGGATTGGAAGAACTCAAAGCAGAGGGTTACACACTGCTGAGCAATTACTCCCACACAGCCCATCAGCCCCTCTACCTACATCAAGGGCAATAGACCCAAAAAGGTAAGGACAAATTTTGTGCAGAAAATGCACCAGGAGGACTTTGGGAACCAAGCCTGATGAGGCTGCAAATACTGTGCTGTGCAGGAGGGACTTCTCTCCCCCTCACCATTGCCAAGGGCCCGCCACCAGCACACAAGTGAGGAGGAAGACTTAGAGAGGAGCCACAAAACAGGAAGGAAAAGGGTTCTACAGGCTCTATAGAGTAACAATTATTCCAATAAAATGCCTGGGGTCCTCCCCAAGTTAATAGTACTGGTGCATCAGTAAGTTTTGTGCCAAAGCAAAATTAGTGGTGTTCAGCTGGCTGCTGCTGGATCAAATTTCTAATAAAATGGATAAATTGGGTCAGCAGCTCATACCAACAGCTCATACCAGTCTTCTTCCCACATCCTGTCTCCATGGGAAGGGGTATCTTTTCCGTACTTTCCTCTACAGAAAGAGCCTAAAGCTCCATACATCCACCACTGACTTAGCTCCTACAACACCACTTTGGGGTCCAGCAGCACTTTGGACAGACAAATGTCACCAGCAGATCTTGCTTTACTACAGCAATCTAATCCAGGGACAATTCCGCTTTTCCAAGGCATGTCATTAATATCCTCAGTATTTGATTTCTCATTGATTTCTTTGGCCTTACTAATTGATGCAGACAGCTTCTCCACTTTGGCTGAGCATCATGACAGCTTTGCTTGACTCACCAAGGAGGTGAGACAAGACTCTTTCTGCAAGGACTGGGGCTCACACAGCATCTCTGTGAACCACAGCAAGTCATACAGATCACATCTGGTCATGTTGAATGTTACCCTTCACATACCATCAAAAAGCAGAAGCTGACCCCAAATAACCACAAGACCTTAACCATGGTCCAGCCTTCCAAAAGCAAAGACCTTATTCCAAGAAATATGAAAACAAACAACTAAAAATTTCTTTCGTAATTGCATGTAAAAATGCCAGGCAACATGGTTCTGCAAAGTACATTTTGGATCTCATAATGTCGGATTTCTCAGCACCTTACTTGACTTCTCAGAGCATACAAGGAGTATCCTGTTCATCATATTAATATCAGCATATCTCCTATTTTAATAATCTGACTGCTTAGAGCCATTCTAGTCCCAACTCCTTATGTGGCCCTGGGAGATCGTTTCTCCATCAAGAGCAAATACAAATATCACATATTTGATAATTGGGATAACACTTCAGCAATATCCTTATTCAAATCTCCCATTCTTCCTATAAAACCAGTAAAAGTTTATCTCTGAATAAATGTTCACTCACTGCTGGACTGTCTCCCATGAGCTGCAGCTGGCCATGCCTAAGAGGCTCCAGACCAGAAGAACAAACCAAAAGCCCCCTTCCATCACTGCTCCCTTTGCAGTGACTGCTTTGGCCTATAAATTTTTTGCAGGAACAGATCTAACAAGACAGAGCTGCGAGGTGGGCAGTGCTGAAAAGGCTTGCCATAGCCGTGGGCACGGAGCCTGCCCCTCCAGCATCCCCCGGGTTTGGATGGGATAACCACCATCTAGTGGCACGGGAAGGCCACTTCACCTTCCCGAGACAGGGACGGCCTGACTTCCCATCTCTCTCCAGCTCCAGGTCTGCAGAGTTTCGCAGCACACTCAAATCAGGGAAAACACAAAAACAGCAGAAGATGGTGAAAAGCAAATGTCTCCATGAATGAAAGAAAAAATGACAGATGAGCTTAAAGGCATGAGGAATTCCTACTCTACCATAGCATTTTCAGCATAAGTAAATCATATTTTCTAAAAGTATGCACATTCCTTAACTGAAGCCACAATGGTAGTAGGCAGCCATGAGAGCATCTCCAATGGCCCTCAAATGTATAGATTCTTCCAAGGGGAATCAGTGTTAGAAAAGTCCATCCACCTTGCTAAAAAGCATGTCTGATATTAAGAACACTGAAGATTAATGGCTGAATACATCATTAAGTAGCAAGCTAGACCAATATCAGTGCTGACAGCAATATATTAATTTCTACCTCCTTCTCAGCAGCTAAATTAAATCCTGCCACCTAAGAAGAAGAACACAGAGAGACATAGCTAATCATTTTTTTCATGTGCTTCTATACTATGCCTGCAAAAACTGAATTTTTCCAAAATATTAGTGCCAAGTCCTCCTCAAACACACTGTAGATCCATAGGTGCAATTAATTTATCTTCACATACTAATCGGATGTTGCAGCAAATGGCCAGTTACATGTCTAATAAGCCATTTCTGGATACAAAAATCTGATTTGTGTCCACAATCATGCTCACTGTGAACCAAAATTAGGCAGAGTTTGCAAGTCATCTCCTTGTTACCTGCACTGCTTGCTTTTGATCTAACAAAAAACATCAGAAGCTGTGGTGCTCTTTAAAGATTCTTTTGATGCCACTGGTCCAGATCAGGTGTCATTTCATAGCCAAACACTTGCTGATGTTTGCACAATGAGCATTTACCTTAATTTTCTAATAGGTTTTAATAGCTAACATGGACTTGGCTGAAATGAGCTTGACAAGACGTGTCTCCATATTTGTCAACTGAAACTGAAAAGCCTTTGGTCATGTACACCAAACAGATCTCTGCCAGTGGAAAGCATATCAGGAAAACATGAAATATTTGCACTAGTACCTGCTCTGGCTTGATGGGCTCAGTTGTTGTGAAAATGTCAGAATAATGTTGTCTCTCAAAGACACGATCCAACACTTCTAGCTGCTGCTGGGTGAAAAGGTCTCCTCGCATCTGCTTCCGGAGAAAATCTCTGCTCGGTAGAGAATGGCCATTTGGTACTGGAGATTCCTGAATACCTTTCAAAGAGGAGAGAGAAGAGGAAAAATGAGTAGCCTCATGATGTGACCTACAGCCTACAGGAGAGTGTCTTATTCTATCCCTTGAACAGATGTAGGTACCAGGATGGTGAAGTCATGAAGACTTTTTGAGAGGTTACACTTTGCTGGAAAACACACGGTACAGTCTTGCATTACAGGCAACCCTCAACGCATCAACAGCTTCACACATTATTTAAAGGCAGCATACTGGATAACAATCACATTTTTGCCTGCTTGACGTTTACTGTACCACCTGGGAAGCTGTCTGGTTCACGGTCTGTATGTAAGAGAACACAGAGGATAAGGAGATGGCCTGATGGTGACAGTCACAGTCAGCCTGGGTCAGCTCCAGCAGAGTGCTTTGTGCAGTCACCACCCACACACTCTGTCCCCCTCCTGTGCTACCTGCAAGTCCTGCTCAACTCCATCCAGCTGAGCTCTGAGCTCTGAGCTCTGGCACGGGCTCTCTGAGAAGCTCTGTCAGCAGCACCAGCGAGCCTGTGCTGTACTAAGGTGGGGAATCCCTGGGCTGAGTTACCACTGCAACATCCTCAGCCAGTCCAAGATGCACTCCTGACCCTCCAATTCTCTTTGTATTTCTCCAGCTTACTGGCAGGACTCAAACCTGGGCTCCAAAGCACATTCTCCTCCTTCTCCCCTTTGGCAGAGGTTTTTAGCAGGAGTCGTAAGTGGCTGACCATGGCTGAAAAGCCATGAGACAAGTTTAAAAAATGTTTGATTGGCAGTCTGAAAAGGATCTTGCATGGACTTGTTTCAATTTGCTTTTTGCAGATTCACAGTGGTTTCCTACTTTTCTTTCACCTGTCAGTGCTGGAAATATGTATTTTATGCACAGAAAACTGAGATCTGCAGTATTCCCAGGACTCCAGGAGGTGGAACTCCAAGAACAACAGTAAATATCAAATTTCTGCTCCAGATGGCAACATTGAACTAGACAGAGGGAGGAAATGTTTTAAAAATAGCATCTAGCTGCCAGAGTAGTTCTGAGGAGCAGAATTTAAATGCATCCTTAACAGCAAGATTTCCATGAGTGCTGCAGCTGCTTACAGTCCAAGAAGTCTGCAGAGGAATAACATCACCTAGACCTCCTCTGGCAGATTCTGCATCAAGTTTTTTGATTGTAAGTGTAGAGGAGATCTGATAGGGGCGATCTGCACAAAAACAGCCCATTGCTGTAGGCATCAGTTGTGACCACAAGCACGTGCTGGCCGTCAGTAATACAAGGGATGCTTGGTGGACAAGATTTTTTACAAAGGACTATTGATTTAAGATCATCCTTCAGCAGAGATGGATTTTGCAGAAAATGCTGTCTATCCAGAAAACGAGGCTTCTTTAAGGCAGAGTCCTCAGACTGGGGAACCAACACAAGGAAATACCTTTCAACCTCAGTTGCTAATGCTGAATTTAAGCCAAACTCTCCTTATACTGAACAGACATTTGATGTTAGCAGTTAATGCTGGAAACTCCCTTCTCAATTTGAGCTCAGCAATTTCAAAGACAACAACATTATATATACCCTTCCTAGAGAAAGTAATGCAATTTTATCAAGGGTAGATTATGGCTTTTGTGAAGTGGAAGGATCAGTTTATTCCACACAGGAAGGGAAACAAAAACCTGAAGCTGTGTTCTGAGTAGGATGTCCAAGTGTGAAAAGGTACTGAGGGATACAAGAAAGCAGTGTACTTTTCTTTTTTCTTCTTTTTTTTTCTTTTTTTTATATTTTTACTATTCTAAATCAAATATTATCTAATAGACCCTGTACTGAGTTTAGTCAACCATGGCTTATGGAATTAAAAATCTGTTTGGTAGGTGTATGGTATCACAGGGCCAGGGAGACCCTGTCTCTCGAGCATGGAAATACTTGATGCTTGCTTTAAATTTCAGGTTAAACTGCTATTCACAATTTGGCATCCAAGTTAAAGCTTTATGCAGATTTGGGATAAAGGGGATGGCAAAAGGGAGTGAAATGATACAAGACAGTCATGACCTGAAAACTGTTCGTGGAGATGCCAGTACAGTCTGTGCACTGTTTGTGCATCCAGAGACTGGAAGTACAATGAGATCCCCTCGTGTTTGAAAGTGGAGCAGTAGCCCCACCTTTCACCAGCAGCACTTTTATTACACAGATTTTTGGGAGTGAGCACCTTGGAGAAGAGGGGGCTGATGAAAGGAAATGCTGGGCAGCAGGCTCAGCCAGAGAGAGGCACAGGGACAGTGCTGGGAAGGGTGTCCCACCCCAGAGTGTGAATCCAGGCACCACCGTGTGCCTGTGCCATCGCATCCATGCATCGGCCCCAGCATCCGTCCCCTTCGTCCAAGGGGCACTGGGGCAGGGATGACCCTCAGCCACTGCCACCAAAGCACAAGGAAGAGGAGGCATTTCTCTCTGCAAAGAAAGGATGAAGTCATGTGGAGGTGGCAGAGGGGCCCTGGAGGGGTTTGGTCTCAAAGTGAGCGCTTGGTGTGTTGCTGGAAGCACAACATCTGCTGCAGCCAGAATGGGCTGCCACCTCACACCACTTGTACATCCCTGTTTGCCAACATCTCCACACACTGTCCCAAGGACATGAGATGGGATCAGTGCAGTCAGGCTGCCCTGGGATGAGGAATAATGCATGCAGCATTTGTGCCAGGGAGGAGAGAGCAGGGGCTGGGCAGGGCTGGGACCACTGAGGTGGCTGACACTGCACAAAAGGAGCCACCCAAGCCTCCCTCACTGTGGCTATCACCTGCTCTTTGCACCCCATGAGCAAAGGAATGGCTTGTGCTTTTGCACTGTGGGAATTTGCACCAAATTCAGACTAATTGCCACTAAGTTCTGGATTCCATTGTAGAACTAAAGGACTTCCTGTACATGGCATATGACACACAGGAGTTCGTGAAGGTCTTCAGGATGTGTTTGGCTGGTTGACATATAAATAATACCATTAACATTATACATTGTTTAACTAGAATATCTTTGATAATTAAAATACTGTTGGAAGGCTTGAAACAATTTTAATTACAAGTAGGTTCCAGGGAGCGATAAAAACATTTTTCGTATAATCAGTGCATCCACATAGAGTTGCATTCACGTATTTTATTGACAATAGCACTACACGTATACCTACCCATTCTGCAAAACAGTTAGTTCCCAATTCAATGGCATTTTTCCAGAAATTCGAGTGAAGAGCACAGATATAGCACTCTCCTTAGTACAAAAGATTACATTCCTCTCAAACAAACATTTCTCCCTTTATCTCTGTTAGGCTGTGCATATGGGATAAGATGCTGCCATTAGCCCACAGTTTCCTGAACTACTTGTGCTGAAATGCATCGAGATGTGATGCACTGGGAGCTGCCACAGGGAGAGCCTGCACGGGCTGCTCCTCCAGTGCCAGGGCTCCAGCACAGGCCATGCCTGCTCAAACGGCCTCCCCACGCTCTGATCCGAGCCCTCCCAGGGGCCCCACCCAGCTCAGAGCACGGACTCAGTTTCCCACAGGTGCACACAGCTCGGGAGCAATCCCCCCACAGCCTGCAGCTGGAAGCCTTCTCATGCTGGGGACAGGTCTGCACAACGTCCTCCCTGCTTCCAGACTCACTGACAGCCATTGTCTTGGCAAGGAAAATGCAATCCTTCCCCACTCTGAAGTGCATGGACACCTTCTGTTCGCACCTTGCCCAGAAAAACTGCCCTGTGGTTTCACAGCTGAAGGCAGACATGCTGCTAAAGAAACTGGCCTGACTGGGACATAATCTAGGTATTAAACACAAGCAAAGATTTTCTGTGGCTAGCCAAAGTCTGAACAACCCACCAGAAGTCTGGGAAGAGTTAGTCACAGAAGACATCTGCCTCTGAGAAGAGATACCATCCGCAGTCCTGCTGACAAAAGACTGCCCAGGTGGTGTGAAAATCATCCTGAAAATATGGAATCACTGCATGGTTTGGGTTGGAAAGGACATTACATGCCATCAAGTTCCAGTCAGCTGCCATGGGCAGGGACACCTTCCACAATCCAGGTTGCCCAAAGTCCTGTCTGACCTGTCCTTGGACACTGCAGCTAATACATCTTTGTTAATTAAGAGCAAGTTATTTTCCGAGGACCTAAGCAAATAGCAAGATCAGTTTAAAGGATTTGATAAATTGAGATCTCATTTTTCTAATTCGTTTCTATGGTTAGATACTCATCCATGACATGCTTTCGGAAACAGCAGGAGAATATTTGAAATTGCTAAATACAAGGAAACCAGAATTTTAGCAACCCTCACCAGACAATTCACTTGATTTAAAATACTATTTCTAAGACTACAGACCAAGATAAGAACAAAAGATGCTATCTTCACAAAATACTAAAGAATATTTAAAAGCCTTAAAGCTTAGTATGAAAACAAGGCGAAATATAGAAAGACCAGCAAAAAGCACTGAAATATAAAAATGGTTCAGCTTCACCTTTTTTTATACTGATAAGGACATCAGCACAATTTCAGATAGTGATAGGACAAGGGGGGAATGGTTTTAAACTGAAAAAAGAGAGATTTATATTAGATTAGGAAGAAATTCTTCTTTGTGAGGCAGGCCCTGGCACAGGGTGCCCAGAGCAGCTGGGGCTGCCCCTGCATCCCTGGCAGTGCCCAAGGCCAGGCTGGACACTGGGACACTGCGAGGTGTCCCTGCCATGGCAGGGTATGGAACAAAGTGGTCTTAAAGGTCCACTCCAACACAAAGTGCTTTATGGTTCCATGAACCTGTTTAAAGACTGTATTACAGTTCAGGACAGACCCTGCCCTGGTGCAGCTCCATTTGAGAGTGTCAGCAAGGTGACAACAGCTGGGAAACAGATGCCAACCACAAATCCAGCTGGACTAATATTTCCAATGCTATTAATAATAAAGGTGTGCCATGAGGTGTGCACCTCCATGGTAGATTCATCTGATGAAGTGCTCTTCTGAAGATAAAAGGAATCTACTGCTTTCAG